TACATTCTAAGTCTGTTATTGTTCTTAGCCTAAGTTACACTCAGTTTTTATCAGAGCTGAAGAGAATACTTCTCTAAACTTCTACATTCTACTTTCTGAAATGTTCAATAAAATCAAAATTTCTTACTGATGTGTTTGATGGTGGGAGACTGTACGTGGTAAATGCAAAAGGTGAGTGAGTACATAAAATGATTACGATCCTTACCAGAGGTGGGTTTTATTTTTCCTTCCAAAAAGGAGGAATTGTCCCTGTATTCTACATAGGAGTTCATTTCTGAAGATTTTTACATCTCACCTCTGCATATATGACAAATCCCATCGAGCACAAAGTACTTCAAGCTCAAGTACAGAAACTCAAGAGAGTTTCTGGCATTCAGTTTTCTTCATTATCACCCCACCCTCACCACCATTATTGTTTTATTCATTCTGCTCAATCCTTGAACTTCTCTCAATACTGCCCGCCCCCCCCGCCCCAGATTTCAAAGGCTTATAGCTTCCTTCCTTGACAGATCTACTTCTGATACATCTATTTATTTTGGTCTTGTCTTCTGTCTTCATGTTCTGTACATTCAGAGACTGTGCCAAGCTCCCCTCAGTCTCCTTCTCTTCTCATTTGGCTTAACCTGGGGTAGAAGCTCAACGATCTCCTCCCAATGCCGGCAGTTATGTTGGTTTTTTACCAGCACCCACACTAACCAGTAAGGTGAGTAGGTAGGCAAATGCATTCTTAACCAATAGAGAAATTGAAGTTGAAAAGTAATTAAGGGATATAACTAATATACCTGGCCCAACTAGTAATGGTAGAGCCAGGATTCTTCAGAAGGTCTTTTAAGGACCGACCTGGACACCACACAGTGTTCGTTTGTATTGTACTGTTATTGTAATCAACCGCACTGCTTTCAGACAAAGCAAAGGCAGGCCAACGGCATCAGAAATGTGTCCCTTAGATTTGGTCATTAGGTTTCATCAGGGAGATGCCCAGGAGGGGATCTGACTCTGCCAAGACTGAGTAGATTACTTTCTAGGGGGGGGAACACATGCCTAGAAAATTGGAGAAAATTACACCCTTTTCTTTTTGTTCTCACTTAATAATCATCTTAAAAGCCAGCCAGTACAAAGTACATTTTTAAAAACCCACAGAGCTGGAAATTTTAGCACATAGAATATTTTCATGCACTACAGGGTACCTTCAATCCTTATAAGAAAATAGAACATAATTTCCATACTTTTTGTTAGCTCTTTTTTAAAATTAAAAATTGGGTATTCATTATTCTGTGACTATTTTTGCCTACACGTTCTTCTGAGCTTTGTGGCAGTTTGGGTGCTGGGATATGAAATAATTTGCTCCTATGTGTCATCTATAAAATTTCTTGAGACATATACCATGCTTGGCAGTGACCTCCTCTCTTAAGGCATATCATCATGGAATCATAACGAAGGGGTTGTGTGAGTTCCACGGAGACAGTTCGGCAGTATAAAAACTCTGCTTTCAGGCTCTGATGACCTCTTGGGGCCAGAAACATTATAAAAAAGAATAAAATGCAGACTCAAATGAGCAGAAGATTCAAGGATTCCAAAAAAGACATTATCTCTGGTGCCCTCAATGGAAGTTCATGTCAAATAATACTTGATCTTATAAAAATATGACCTTTTTAGAAGCACTGTTATATTCAGAAGTCAAATAATGCTTCTTTTAATTCAAACCTGGGTTGAATATTATGCACCATTAGAGGCCTATTGCTTGACCTCACGGAGGACCCCGCTGAGAATATTACCATTCTAGCAATGTCCCTACTGGATCTTCAAATACATAAATTCACAGATATCCTGTGACTGAGAACAGAAAAATGGCACTCTCAAAAACCAAAGCTCCAAATTATCTCCTTAAATTAGAACTCTAGTTCAAAATATTTTGGTTTTGGTTAAACTCAAATGAGATAGCCTACCCACCTATACTTTTGTCTTCCAAGTAGTGTTATTGTAATTGTGCAGATGGCAGCTGCCTTATGTGAGCTCAGTATGGGGACGTTCTTTCTGCCTCTGTATATAAGTGTCAGGTTGGAACAAGACCAGCAACTTTGAAAGATTAGGAAAGAGATGAAATGCTGACTGGATTTTCCCCCAGCTACAATTATATTTATTTTTTATTTTAGAAATGAGGGTGTAGGCCAAAGGTGGAATTAATGAAAGAGAGAGGGAATATCTACTTGTTTCTCAGGTTATCAGCTTTTACCCAATATGCCCACCCACTAGAACACTGGTTTTATCGCATACCTTTTCACACAGAGTGGTAGACAGGGTAAAAGCCTCCTTGACCATATCCTGTCTGGACCCTGGGAGTATATTACCTTACAGGGCAACGGGACTTTGCAGATGTGATTAAATTAAGGATATTGAGAAGTGGAGATAATCCAGCTGGGCCCAATATAATAACAAGAGTCCTTATAAGGGAAGGAAGGAAGGAAGGAAGGAAGGAAGGAAGGAAGGAAGGAAGGAAGGAAGTCAGAGTCAGAGAAGGAGATATTACTGATGGTCACACCGCAGTTTAGATAGAAAAAGAGATCTCTGAAGCTGCCACAATGCTAGCTTTGAAAATGGAAGAAGTGGCCACAAGCCAAGGAATGCTGGAGGCCACTAGAAACTGGAAAATGCAAGGCAAGGATTCTGCCCCTAGAGCCTCCTGAAGAAATTCAAGCAACCCTGTTGGCCCACTTTAGAATTCTGAGCTTCAGAACTAGAAGGCGATCTATTTGTCTTGTTTTAAGCTACTAAATTTAGGATAATTTGTTATAGTAGCAATAGGAAATGAATACACTAAGGTTCAACATCAATTTTAAATATAGAATATCAAAATTATAGTGTTTAAAATTTTCAAAAAGTTATTACCTTACACACATACCTGTGTCTATATATTTTAGTACTGTTAAATAATTAGGTCTTATATAGAGAGTTCCTATTTCATGACGATAAAAATATGGCAAATTTAGTTTATTAATTCAGATATCTTATTTGGTTCTTTTTGTAAAACATTATATGAAAAATAAAGCAGCTGCCCTAGCATGTGGTATTTTCTTATTTTTGTTTGTTTTTTTAAAACAATTTCTCTGTAATAATACACTACTTTATTTCCATGTTGAAAGGCAGTTATTCTAAGTTAGTGATTCTCAGCCTTGGCCCTATTGACACTTTGGATGAGATCATCCCTTGCTGTGAGGGTCTCTCCTGTGCACTGTAGGATACTTAGCATCATCCCTGGGTTCTACCCAAGAGATACAAGTAACACTAGATGTCCCCCAGTTCTGACAACCAAACATGTAACCAGGCATTGCTGCCAAATGTCCCCTGGGGAGCAAAATCGGCCTCAGTTGAAAATCAGTACTTTGGGCAATGCACAATTTGGTGGTAAATATCCCATAAGCACCCATTAGAACATTCACAAGAATATTTAGTTATATTATTAGGAAATTATCAGAAAGGCATGGGTAGTTACTTCCTTATAATTTACCGCAGCAAAGCATTCCCTCATGGACCCCCTCCATTTTCTTCTTGCCTCACTGGGATCTTTGCCTCCTCATCTTTTCCAGCTCCTCCTCTCCTCTTGCACCACTAGGTGACAGAACATTCCAGGAGTCAGTTGTCCTCTCAGATGTCTTCTTTATCTATACTCACACTCTAGGTCACCGCATCCACTCTATGTCTTTAAATGTATCTATACACTGACTCACAGCAAATATATGTTCCTGGCCATGAATTCTCTATTGAACTTGAACAGCCTACTCAATAACTTCAATTGACTGTCCAATAGGATAAACATGTCAAAAAATGGACATTATCAATTCCTTTTTCCCCAGTTACACCTCCTCACACAATGTGTCCAAGATCAATAAATAGCAACTCCTGTGATACTCAATGTATCTCATTTTCTCACATCCTATATCAAATCCATCCTCCTCCCACTGGCTTCATATGCAGTCCCTCTTCACCACCATCACCACCAGCTCAGCCTGGGTTACAATCACAGCCTCTTACTTGGCCTCTCCTTCCAGGCTGGCCATCCTGCAGGCTCTCCTCCACTCTGCAGTGAGTCAGAGCCTTTCAAAATGGGAGACAATCATGTCACTCCATCTTATCTCACCCAGAGGGAAAATGGGAATCCCACTGATCTATGGACGTCCCACTACCTTTCTGACCTCATCTCTCACCCTTCTCCATCTCTCTCAATCTCTCTAGCCACACCCCTTCCTCACAATTCCTTGAACAAGCCAAGCAGCTTCTTACCCCTCTGCATGAAAGGCTCTGCAGGTCCCCACCCAGAGATACGCCAGGAGCTCTGTATTAGTCATTACTCATTAGTCATGGTTCTCCAGAGAAAGACACTAATAGGCTATGGTATATATAAAATGACATTTCTTACAAGAAGTTGGCTCACATGATTATGGAGAAATAATGTTTAACCAGATATCTGGGCATCCTTTGGCCTAGTCAAGGTTATACACAAAGTTAACCATCACAGACTCCTTCCCTCATTTGTTTCAGGTCTCTGTCCAAATGTCACTGTGGAGGGGCCTTCTCTATCTAAAATATAATCCCTCACCTCACAATTCCTGTCTCTCTCTGGCTTTATTTTTCTTCATATGGCAGAAGTTGTATATAAATATTTGCTTGTATTCTGTCTCCACCCACTGGACTACAGCTCCATGAGGGCAGGGTATCCTTAACTATCTGCTCTCTGCTGGTTCACCAGCACTAGGATATACACCAGGATATAAATATACAAACATATGTGTCAGGATACCAGGATGTCAGGATAGCCTGTCAGGTCGCAAATACATTATAAAATGAAGATGATTGCATGCTATTGAACCTCAGAACTGGAAAACAGTGTAAAATACTCATAGAATGGAACACAGTATAAAATGCTTGTAGGCTAGGATCACAGCCACATTAACCTTCCTAGAAACACAACACTTTCCCAATCTACTAGTAAAATAAAAGTGAAAATGGCCATTTCTCAGTGTTTTCAGGAACTAGCAAAGCCGTTCTTCGTTAACATGGACACAGAGTGCCCTCTACTGTGCTGTTTGGATGTGCACATCTCTGAAGGTATTTTTCCTCTCTCTTTTTTTAATGGCTAAATACATGGATACATCTCCCCAAATCCAAAAGCATTTTGTGGTTTATTTGACCAGCATACAATATCATAAACTACTTTTTTCCCTTTTTGTTGAATTTATTGGAGTGACACTGGTTAACAAAATTATACAGGTTTCAGGTGCACAATTCTGTACACTGTATTGTGTGTTCACACACACCCCCCCCCAACTCAAGTGTCCACCATCACCATTCATCCCCCCATACCCTCCTCCACCTCCCCCAGCCCCGCAATCACCACACTGTTGTCCCTGCCCATGAGTTATTTCTTTTTTGCTCAATTCTTTCATCTTCCCCGCCCCCCAACAGCTGTTAGCTCTGAGTCTGTCTCTATTTTGCTTGTTTCAACTTTTATTTTAATCAGGCAGAACACTGTTTTAAAGAACTTAAAGAGATAGACAACAGAACTTCCATCCGTAATGCTTTAAATAAAAATCTATTTCTAGAATAAACAGAAAGTAAATCTTATGCTGTTGACGGGTAGATTTTAATTTTTTTAACAGAGTATTCACTGCCTCAAATGTTGAGGCCAGGGTAAGACATATCAGGGCTTTTAAGTCAAAGGAATGTTTTGCCAGTTAACTACTGTGTCTGAGAGTTTTTGCTACTCCTGTACATGAAAATACAGTTGACCCTTGAACAACACAGGCTCAACAGCGTGGATTTACTACGCATGTTTTTCCCCCCATAAATACATTCAGGCCTTAGTATCCATGGGTTTCGCATCTGCAGATTCAATCAACTACAAACCAAAAACAGTATTTTCACATTCCCAACCTTGTATCAAAAATACTTGCGGGGGTGGGGGAGGGGGAAAGAGTAAAGGATGTGCGTAGTGGTGGCTTCGGCACCCCTAATCCTCGCTTTCCTCAAGGGTCACCCCTAATGCAGACATACCTCGGAGACGTTGCCGGTTGGGTTCCAGCGCAGCGCAGCAAAGCAAGTAAGGCCAGCTGTAATCATTTTGCTGGTGAAGGTCTTAACTTTTATGTGCAGAAAAGGAAACACCTGTGAAGTTCAATAAAGTGACATGCAATAAACAAGGGCCCTCTGGATAAGAAACCCACACACACACCCCCTTCCCCCAACCCCCCAGTTGTCAGAGCGCCGAGTCCCAGCTGAGCAGGGGCGGCCGTCCAGTCCCCACCTGCACGGAGCGTGTCCGGAGCAGAATGGAAGCTTCAGGTGCCTCTCGAGGCCGCGGTCCGCCAGCCCTCTGGCCGCCCCGCTCCTCCTCGCGCAGCCACGGCTCCCGAACTCCTGCGTGACGTCTCCTCGGAGCGCCCGGCTCGGGCCAGGGCGCCGTGGGCCAGGGGAGCGCCGAGGACTTGGGCCTCCAGCATCTCTCCAGCGGCCTCTTCTTGCGGGAAGACATCAAAGCCGACACCGAAGCTGGTGATCCCGCCAAGCGGTACAGACCATGGCCGCGTGGTCCCAGGCCGCGTGACCACACGCCTGGTGCGGTGGGAGCTGGAGAACCGGCGGGATCGGCCCGGCGACTAGCGATTTTCCCGGGACCTCAGTTTAGGCTGAAGCCCTGGATGGGATCTGTGCCCTGGCTCGGTGATCACTCTGAGCACCGCATCCCGCATCGGAAACACCCAGATGATCCCAGCCGAGGTTGGGCGCGCCCCCTAGCGGAAGGGTGTATAACCTGTACTTCAATCCACCTCTCCTACCTGGGTGATGACGTCACCGGCGGGCGGTGGGTCCAGCAGGAGGATGCTACACCGGAAGCAGTCAATGTCAGGCTAAGCCAGCACCAGGAGGTGGCCAACCCGGTCGTTAAACTATGCAAGACCCAAGGAGTGCGCCCCCAGTTTTCTGGAACGGAAACTGACCAAATCTGCCCCTGCGTTTACACGGTTTTCTCCAACAAGATCACACCTATTCAGTCCAGAGGAGCAAGGTGAGCGCGCCCAGTGGGAGAACCAAGACGATGGGGTCCTTCTTTGAGTTGTATGTGTAGTGTGGTCCCAATCAGAAGCCAGCTGAGATAGCTTGGTCTTTTCTAGTTTAAAGGATGAACTGATAGGAAAACTAATGAGCAAAAGGAGCTCATGAAGAGGCTGTTCTCCGCCCTTCCTAAGAAGGGGCACCTGCACCTGTTGAAGATGCTCTGCACAGGCCTCGAGCCCTTCACAGGAAAGCGAGGGCAGGCTGGATTTCAAGCGGTGCATAGCCCAAGCGCTAGCTGATGTTTGACCGTCATGTTGTTGCCATAGTGGTAGCCCCTGTACCCATGAGTGGTGGTCACTGGTTCTCCCCACCCCCTGAAGGCGGTTGAACCATAGCACCAGTAGGCCTGCCAACGCCCAGGGCGGTGGCCCGGGCTTTGTCCCACATTCTCTGGTATGTTCTCCCCTGGAGACAACGAGGTTGAAGCCAATTTCTCGCGGTGGTCACTTCTCTGACTCTGAGTGACTGTATCCACCATTTATTGTTTGTTAAGAGAGACATCTCCTTTCCTGCATCCATGCTCCATAGAAGCTCTCCTCTTCAGACATCCTGCAATGAAAGGACTTGGCTTCTGCTGTTTTTACTAGACGGTGTTTTCTACCACATCTGTTTCCTCCTCTCCCCTGCTCCCTACAGCCTTTCTCCCTCTGAACTTCCTTCCTAAGATCTGAGAGCGAGGGGATGATGTCAGATCACTTCATGCACCAAAAGCTGAGCTACTTAAACTGCTGGTCTGATTCTCCTGGGTGGATACTGTTCCTTTTTTTGTGGAAAAATAAAATCCTCATTGTCTTTTGTAAATCCTCAAAATAAGAAATATTCACCTACATAAATATTAAAAGAGCCTATCTTATGTATTAGATGCAATAAGACCATAGGGAGTTACTGGACTAAAAGAATTGTTTACTTTCTATTCAAGATTTTTTAAAAAATGTATTTTGAAAATGCTGCTAGATGTTGATGCTGTTTTTCTCCTGGGAGTAAATAGTTGGTAAAGGGAATGAAGCCTGTGGGGTTGCAGAATCATGTTGTACCAGCTGTGCCTAGACTAAGGATGACAGCTTAATGATGATGAGAAAACAAAATCTTAATTTCTTTTCTAGTCCAAAGATTCTATAGGGTGGCCATAAAGTCTAAAAATACAGATAACACTATTTTGTCACTCACTGTAATGTAATATCAATAAATCATTTGGTAAAAAACAACAACACAAAAAACATGGGAGTAGGGGAGGGGAGAGGATCTAGAGCCGGAGAGAGCTGTATTTGTTTTTCAACAGGCTGGATGGGGTAGGCCTCTTGCCTTGCTGCATATTATACTCACCCGGGAGCATTTAAAGACTATTAGTGACCAGATAAATCACTTTCACCAAAAGTACTTATTTCTTCCTTTCCAACTTTCAGTTCTTTCTCTTACTTTACTGAAGTGGTTCTCCATAGATGGCAATTTTGCTTCCCTCTGCCTCAGGGACATTTGGAAATGTCTAAATGTTTGTTACAACTGGGTGTGGAGAGTAGGGAGAGAAGGATGCTACTGGTGGGGGTAGTGAGAGAAGGATGGTACTGGTATCTTGTGAGCAGAGGCCAGAAATGCTACTAATCATCCTGTATTGCACTGTGCAAAGAACTGTCCAAAGGCCAATGGTGTCAAGGCTGAGAAACCCTGCCTCAATAGACTAGCTACGACCTCCAAGAAAATATGGAAGAGATGAGAACAAACACCTTGTTCCAGATTTTAGTGGAAAAAATTTGTTCTTCCACTCTTAAATATGATGTCAGCTATACATTTTTTATAGATACCCTTTTAAGATCAAGAAATTTCCATTCTATTCCCAGTTTTCTCTGAGTTTTTTTTATGAATGTTACTGAATTTTATCAAACACTTTTCTGCATCTATACAGAAGTCACCTGGTTTTCTCTTTTAGGCTGTTAATATGGAGAATTCTTGATCAATTTTTAAATGTTAAAATGAATTCCTGGGATGAAACTCCTCTTTAAATTTTTTTAATTTATTGATTTTGGGGGGGGGGAGAAAGAGAATGAGAGAGAGAGAGAGAGAGAGAGAGAGAGAGAGAGAGAGAGAGATATTTGTTGTTCCACTTATTTATGCATTAATTGGTTGCTTCTTGTATGTGTCCTGACCTCAGATCAAATCTAAAACCTTGGCATATTGGGATGCTACTCTAACCAACTGAGTTACCTGGCCAGGGCCTGGGATAGAACCCCTTTAATTTTTGTATTGTTGGATTCAATTTGATAAAATTTTAAGATTTTTACATCAGTATTTTGAGGAGTACTGGTATGTAATTTTCTGTTCTTACAATCTTTTGGTTTCATTTTGGTCAGGGTAATACTAGCCTCACACATGAGTCGGGAAATTTTCTCTTATCTTCTATCCTTGTCTTGTATTATCAGGAAGAGTTTGTCTAGAATTAGTTCCATTGCTTAAATGTTTGCTAGAAGTCACCAGTAAAGCTCAATTAGGCCTAGACTTTTCTTTCAGAAGGTGCTTTACTGTGAATTCAATTTCTTTAATATGAGTGTACATTGCTATTTAGGTTTATCTGTTTCCTCTTGAATTATGTTTAATAGTTTATCTCTCAAGAAATTTGCCCATTTCATCAATGCCAAATTTATATGCATAAGGTTATGTTTCATATTTTCTTTTTAGGGTCCATAGGTTCTGTGGTGATACCCTTATTTTATTTCTGATATTAGCAATTTATGTTTTTTCCCCTCTTTTGTGAATTAGTCATTCCCTTGTCTCTATTTTCTTTGTGTTTAATTTGCTCTTACAGTTTCTTAAGGTGGAAATTTATTTTTTATTTTTTATTTATTTATTTTTTATATATATTTTATTGATTTTTTACAGAGAGGAAGGGAGAGGGATAGAGAGTTAGAAACATCGATGAGAGAGAAACATCAATCAGCTGCCTCCTGCACACCTCCTACTGGGGATGTGCCCGCAACCAAGGTACATGCCCTTGACCAGAATCAAACCTGGGACCCTTCAGTCCGCAGGCCGACGCTCTATCCACTGAGCCAAACAGGCCAGGGCAAGGTGGAAATTTAGATCACTGACTTGAGATCTTTCTATTTATCTGTGTTAGGATTTAATGCTATAAATTTCCTGTTAAGCACTGTGTTTGCTGTTTCCCACATATTTTGGTGGGCTGCTTTTCATTTTCATTGAAATGAAAATATTTTTTAATTTCCCTTGTGATATCTCTTTTCATCTAAATATTTGAGGATTAGCCAGATATCTCTGTTACTGATTTCTAGTTTAATACATTGTGGTTGGACAACATAGTTTGTATAACTTCAATACTTTAAATGTGCTGAAATTTGGTTTTTGGCCCAAATATTTTCTCTTAGTGCATATTTTAAGTGCCTTTAAAAAACAAATATGTTTATTTTATCCTTCTGAATACCCTTTCCAATATATGCTATTTTGAAGTCAATTTTTTAATGGTCTCACAAAATTTCACTAAAAAATGAGTGAACTATTTGAAGCAAGGCAAGGTCTATAAAGCACTCATGCAATATATATGTTTTATTTTTTAACAATAATAATAAAATGGCTCAATTAAAAAAAACTAAACCTTTCATAATTATGTAACCATGGAAAGGCTGTCTAATTTTGACTACTACTGAATGAGGATGAATTAAGAAATGCTAAATTGCCCAGCTAGAGTGGCTCAGTGGTTGAGTGTCAACCTATGAACCAGGAGGTCATGGTTCAATTCCCGGTCAGGGCACATGCCCAGGTTTCGGGTTTTATCCCCACTATACTGGGGCATGCAGGAGGCAGCCAATCAATGATTCTCTCTCATTATTGATGTTTCTATCTCTCTCCCCCTGTCCCTTCCTCTCTGAAATCAATAAAAATAAAAAAAAGAAATGCTAAATTCATATATGCATAAAAGGATTTAACATTAAAATTAATAATATGATTAACTCATATCACATTTGAATAAAATGTCACAACAAATATACTTTTTCAAAAAGATGTATTTTAATGATGGAAGACTGTATCAGTGAAGTGCTTTTGTACATATTTTTTGGATATGATAAACATGTACTTTCAAATATATATATATGTATATATGGAACAGAATACAAATTGTTTTGTCATGAAAGAGCTGTGCTTTCAAAGGCTTTTAAAAAAGCAAAAGAGGTGAAGTTTCTCTCGGAAAATGACACTTAGGAGTTAATGGCATCAAAATCACATTGGCTAAAAAAGGAAAACAAACTTTTAAAGCCATAATAACATAAACTTTACTGCAAATATACTCCTTGTTTGAACACATAGAAAGAAGAACCTAAGAAACATTATGGCTGTCTTCTCTGGCACGTTAAAGAACAAGTTTGGCTAATGGCTCCTGAATACTAAAATTTTCCGACAAACTCCCCTAGCTTGTGCCTAGCTTTTCATCTTTATAGATCATATAAAAAGACATAAATCAGTTTCAAGCAGAGCCAATAATGGTCCATAACAAAAGTTAAGTTTTGGTTATCTATTAACATCAGAAAATTCCAGTTTAAAAAGAATTTCAAACCAATCCTAGGCATTAAAAAATAGCCATATAGCTGAGGTTAATTTTCTAAAGTCAAATAAACAACCGCCCTCCCCCAACCCCAAACAGCAATGGGACAGCCATAATGTTTGTTTGCTTATTCCTCCAAAAGCCAGTTTACCACCTGCTGGAATCCCAGCCCAGAAACCAGCCTGTGAATGTGGGTGGCTCATAGCCCTGTTTTACTATGATAATTGGCGTCCTCCTGTCTCTTCCAGAAGGGTCTGTCTCAAGGTACATTTTGGCTAAAAAAGAAGGACAGACATATAAATTTAATTAGTCTTGATTAAAGTAGCTGTAGAATGAAAAGTTTTTCAATAAATATAACAAATTAAATCTTCCTTGCCCCCAAGTAGTCAAATATTGTTCCATATGAAC